TCCTAAGAACGACTAAAGTCACACTTAGGTAGTTCTGAAATCGAGGATAACCCAGAGTTGAACGTCATCCCACCTGACTGGTCACAATCACTAATTGTCCCAATATATAAGAATGGATCAAAATCATCCTGTGACAACCATAGAATGATTAGTTCGACTAATATAGCATCTAAAATACTAGCCTCAATAATTATCGGACGCCTAATTAAAACTCGTGAACTGAAAACACGAGAAAATCAGGCTGAATTCAGATCTGGCCGTGGCTGCGTCGATCACATATTCAACACTCTTCAGTTTCTAGGATACAAGCATGCTTATCGGCGTTCGACAATGAATTAAAAGCAGCATTTGATTCTGGAGACCGAGAGGTTCTGTGGCAGTGTCTGTCCTTGAAATGTGTACTTCAGAAGTGCATAAACCTTGTGAGAGTTCTTTACTCGAACACTAATAGTTGAGTCAGAGCTTATGACGAACTGTCATGAGATTTTGCAACTTCAAGTGGTGTCTGGCAAGCTGTTCACTATCTCCATTCCTGTTCAATTTCATCGTAGGCCTACCGCTGGGAATAACGTTCACGTCATCTGAATTTTCAGGAATTGGTTTTCTTCCAGGAGGTCCACTTATCGACTTAGAATATGCAGATGACATAGTCCTGTTTGATGAAGACGCTGATAAAATGCAGAGTGTTTTGGTAGCACCGAGCAACAATGCCAGGATGTTTGGGATGCGCTTCTCCCCCTCTAAATACACGTTGTTGCTTCAGAACTTGCCTGCGTCAACACCTGAACTAAGGATAGAGGGTGAAGTAGTCGGAGGTGTCAACAACTTCACTTATCTTGGAAGTCTGATCAGCCGTAGTGGGTTGGTGTCTGGCGAAATCTCAGCACAGATTCGAAAAGCTCGTCTGGCTTTTGCCAACCTACGTCACCTATGGTGAAGGCGAGATATCCGTCTATCAATTAATGGACTAGTATACTGCGCGACAGTTCGTTCTGTTCTACTTTACGGCTGCGAAACGTGGCCATTAATAGTAGAAGATGCTCGTAAGCTTCTAGTATTTGACCACAGATGCCTCAGAAATATTGCCCGCATCTTTTGTGATCGTCAGATAAGTAATAATGAGGTTAGGTAATGATTGGTAAATCAGTTGGTGTTTGTAATTCTTCATCGACTTAGATGGTTGGGCCACGTGTTACGTATGCCTGAACACCGATTACCACGACGTGCAATGCTATCCGGTATTGGAGATGGTTGGAAAAAAGTTAGGGGCGGCCAAACCAAAACGTGGCATCAGTGCTTGAAGACACTAACTTCTAGTCTGAGCCATGTTGGTAGAAGCAGACTACTTGGTTGGGGTCCGCGTGACTATCGTGACCAATGGTTGAAGACTCTCGGTGACATGGCTCAGGACCGACCACAATGGCGTAGGTGTATAAACTCCCTGTCTTCCCTTAACCTAAGAGATTAAGATCACTTCACATCTTTCTTTCTACGAACTAATTCTTTCTTCCTATACTATGTCCTTATTGCAATCTTTCTTTTATATATTACCACCTCTGAATTAACCACTCCTATGAATCCGGTGTTCATCTTGCTGTGCTAATGCGGTATGGCAACTTGGACCGATTCATATATGTGCCTGGTCCTACGTTATAGCTGACTGACTGACTGTCAACTACTCTTAATTTGAATTGTGTTGAAGGCAAAGGCTTTTTATTTTGTATCTTACGGTTGATTAAATTCACCAGTTAATCATCAAGCAGTCAAATCTGTTTATTTTCGTTCTATGTTTTAAAGCTATGGCCTAGTGTTTAGAGTTTGACTTTTTAATTCCCACTTTTTAGTGAGGTTTGTGCAGATAGATACCGTGATTAGGTATTAGATAGGTGTATGTTACAACCTAATACTTCGTTTTCTAGACCGATTGCAGATGAATCCATTAGTGTATTTCGGTGGCGATGTATTTACATATCAAGTGACATGACTACTTAGATATGGGGTTTTATTTGTCACCTTCGTTATCCAACTAACTTGTTGTTTCTTATAGTAGTACGTGACCAGAACTCTATTCCTCATTATCTTACACGAGTTTCTCAAAAATATCAATAGTGATGTATGTTTTGGGAATTACAGTTAATCAAAACTATTCTTAGTGCAAAAGAACATTTAAATTCATGCGTTTTTTAGAATTGTTTGTTAAATGATGTTCTCTAGTGTTTTCTGGTATACAAAGTCATTACTTTCTTTGTTCTGAGTTAATCAAGTCTTTAATTGCTATTTCCCTGTTCTTAGCAGACAATGAAGCACCTGTTTCTACCATTCAAGATCGCTCTTGCCGCTAACTCTTTTAGCGTTCTCTTCAATGTCATCAATGATTGCGATGAAACATATAACTATTGGGAGCCTTTACATTTCATTTCAACAAACGGTGAAGGTGGTGGCTTCCAGACATGGGAATATTCACCTTCTTTTGGCCTTAGATCTTATTTGTACCTATGGTTCTTCGGTTGGCCTTCTTATTTATCATTCTTTATGGGTTTCCAAATTGGCTTGCATTTTTGTTAGTTCGTTTTTTTTCTAGGACTAGTTTCTGCTGTTTCTGCTAGTTTACTTTCTTCCACGGTAGCTACTTACATCTATTCGAATAATCGAAAGCAAATTGGCGAGCTAGACCTAACCAAAAGAAAGGTATTATTCTCTTTTCTGCTATCATTTTGTTGTTGTATATCCCCAGGAAACTTCCTATCGTCAACAACGTTTCTCCCTAGTGGACCATCCGCTTCTTTAACCGCTCTGATGTTGGTATTTTGGTTAAAGCGTTGTTACTTCTTGGCTGTTGGGTGCGTTGCTTTTACGGGTCTTATTGTTTGGCCCTTTGCCGCCGTCCTTGGCATTCCTTTGGCAGTATATATGATGTTTAGCGGGAAAATGTATCGTTTGGTTGAGTTGGTAATCTTGTGGACGTTCCTTCTTGTTCCCCCTCTCGTCCTTGTTGATTCCTTTTACTTTGGTCGTTTCATCTTAGCACCTTTTAATATAATCCGGTACAATTTATTCCCCCAAATCAAACAACAGTCTGGAAGTGCTTCGCAATTGTATGGGACGGAGCCCATATCATTCTACATTAAAAATTACATTTTAAATCAAAACGTGCTGTGTATTTTCGCCCTGCTGTTACTACTAATCTCTGCGGTAAAATACATCTTACGTCCTTTGTTTCAAACAAAAATGGTCTCAGTAAGTGGGCATTCTGATACGAATACATCATTACCTGATATTCGCTTGATTGTATGCAGTTCTTTGGTAATTTGGAATGGCATATTTTTTTCTTCAGTCTCATAAGGAAGAAAGATTCCTGTTCCCATGCTACCCTTTTATTTCAGTTGCGTCGGCAGTTTTCATGTTAGGGCTTATCGAAACTTTTAATTCCAATACTAAGCCTACATACATTCGACACATAGCTTTGTTCATTGTGCTTGTTTCATGTTCAGTTACATTTTTACTGACTGTCTCTCGCATATTCACCCTTATACGTTGGTATAGTTCTCCAATCTTTCTAGTCAAACACATTCCCGTTCCGTCATTTCAGTCTAACAAACCTTTGTTATGTATAGGGCGTGAATGGCATTATTTCCCAAGTAGGTTCCTTCTCCCGGGAGGCGCTGAGAATTGGCGCATTGGATTTGTCCAATCAGCATTTTCTGGTCAGTTGCCAGGTCAGTTCGCAAAACCTTTATCAAATGGTGTAGTGTCAAGCTCTACAAGGATTGACGGGAGTCATTTCAACTCCGAGAATGTAGAAGAGATTGACAGATTTATCACGAACGAGTCTAACGAATGTACTTATATTTTGGATCGGGATTCTCCTCCTGGTGTACGTGAAAAATGGTATGTAGCGGACCAAAAGACTTGGTTTTCTCTTGTTAACCGAACTACTATTGAGCCTAATAATTACAATCCTGACGATAATTTGCTTGGTCAGAGTTTAACCTTCCTTCGCCAATTTCTAAGAATTTTTTACATTCCTATTCTTTCAGAAAAAATAGACCACAGAATTTATCTGCACATTCTTGCTCGTTATGGTAACGAACTGACTGTATAACTTGTTTCCGATCTCTAACCATCCTTCCTCTACTTTTTGGAAGGTTGCTATGATATTTTTATTGACCTGTTCTTTTATATGTTCACTTCCTCTCCTTTCATGTTTAGTTCATTTCAACTTGGTTCGTGTATATGTTTGTAACAATATTAAAGATGGCTTGTTTAATTTTCCACTACTTGGTTCACTTAAAAACAAATAAATGAAAAGACATTCCTAGTTCTTGGAGTAGATTCGATCAGTTTATTTATTTCTCACTGTGATTATCATTTCTTTCTGAATGACTGGATCAGGCCATTCGTTTGTTTTTCAAGTGTGTAGGATCAAATTTTATGTATAAACAAATAATCTTGTTTGTCGTAATTGAAGGGACCTATTTTTAAAACCAATATTCTCTAAAAGTGCTTGACACAGCTCCATCAATAATTAAGAGAAAGCGTACCTTTATTGATATAACGCGTTCTTAAGAACCTCATATATGAGGTTGCCGCTATTGTTATTTACTATTTTACCATTCATTTGTCTCTGAACTGATTGAGATTCGATTAAGATGAGTGGCTTGTTAGTTTCAGATATAATATCCAGTATTTCAGTAAGATTAACTCTCCAATCCAAGTAAGTACTTTTGTCAGTAATGTATCAACTCATATTTCGTCTTGAAAGCTAGTACTGGAATTTGCAATGAAGCGCACAATACAAATCAGGTGTTGTAGTTAGGAAGGAATCCCGGCTTGTAATTTCAATTGTATTATTCGTCGTTGTTTTCTGTCCACTTATTAACCAGTAAATCTTGATACTTGATATGTCTTAACTTTCCTGTACTTTCGATACCAGCGCAAGTACGTAAAGTTAGTTTAAACTGAATATAATGATCTACAAAGAAAACACATTTCAGGACTGTCTTTATGCCGAATTAGTTGTAACTTTTGTTTTTGTGCTGGGATATGTAAAAGTATTAACGACTGCACCAAAAACTTTATTATATTTTAATATTCCAAGAAAAAATTCGATATAACATAACATCAGCAGACATCCAGTTCCGCTTATCACCAGCGATAAACTCAGAACATGATGTGAGCTATCTTGAATTCTAGATTAAGACTGAACAGCTTCACTAGGTTCGTCTGCTTCAGTTTGCAAACATTGTTCTCCTTCCCTTTCAACAACATCTTGCTCATCGTCGCTTGATACAGGACGTTCTTCTTCCTCATCAAGTACTATTTCATTCTTTAACTAAAAAAAGATTGTTACGCGAAAATACTGATAACGAGGCTGAGAGACATAAGTGTAGTTTTGAGATATTGACTTGGGGACATATAATCATGGTTATTTTATTGATTAGTGAAGTTTATCCAAAATTATGACCGAGGTTTGAAAATGATGTTCTATAGAAGAAAGATTTATTTGGAAAACTTAATATCATACTCCCACTTTCACAGTCCGGTCCACTATGTAATTTAGACATGGATTTATATAATTCTGTTAATATTCGACATTTTAATCATCGTAGTTTGATTTCTTCGGTAGTCCAGAAGTTTAAAAGGTTCATGATCAAACATTATTGTTGTTCCCTACTTTAGCAAATCTTGCCAAATAAGAATGCAATTTGTCTTACTGATTCACTCCTACTCCTAAGAATCAAGCACAAAAGAAATTTTGTACAAGATCCAGTCTCAGCAAGTTCCATGTTAATAGTATTGACAAAACTACAATATTATCAGTAACTATCATTCTGTGGCTTATCTTGTTTAAAACGATTTAGGGGAAAATAATGCCTTTCAAAGATGGTTCATTCTTACTATCGAATATCCAGTCTCATAAAATGTAAGGTTCATCAGAAGAAAACTCAGTATATATATATATAGTAGATGATAAGACCTCAAAATATTCATCGAGATAATCTTCGCTCATGTTCAAAGAGAAGGGCACGAATTCGGTTACCATGAAAAACACTGACATCTGCTAAGCAGAGTGTTTATATTCACATTTAACTAGAATAATGAGTACTTTAAGTAGTGACCCGTAGGGGGTCGGTCCAAATTGTGAAATTTAGTCTTTTTAAATACTTAAAAAGTTCCGATACTGATAAATAATAAAATTAAGAAGCGCCCGACTGAGTGCTTTTCAAAAGAAGTTAGCTAGATCTACCTGTTTATTGCTTGCAGTTTGTGCAGATTCCATAGCAAGCTTTTCTCTTAGCTCATGTTCTTTGAGTTTTCGTTCAATGGTTTCAAAAATTGTTCTTGTGTTGAACGTGTAATTTCTTCCACTCGTTTTGTGTCTAATTCTTCCTCATCAATAGCAGTTGTCTCATCCTGTGCAAAAGAAACTGATCTTTACCAAAAGATTAAGGTAGTCGGAATCAGATAAAGCAAATTATGAAAATAGAGCGTGTAGTGTTATAATCACATAATTATCAATGTTTAACAGGGGGTTCGGATAAAGTCGTAAGCAAATAAGGCTTAGTTTTTAGTGTCTTGGTTCAGGATGAAATAAGAGTATATTTACGCAAAATGTTATTATGTAGATAACATGTAACAACTTATTCTTGATTATGATTCGTACTCATTTCGGTTGTCGCACATTGGACCAACTGCATTAGTGTCTGGAGCTGCTGTTTCACCATTCTTCTCCATCGGAATTATATGACTGTATACGCAAGTATAGTTAGTTTCTCGTGTACATGTTAGTAAGAATGATCCCTATTTTGTGAAATCCTAGAATAAACAGGCAGATGTGAATGCCTTAATCTCTTAAAAACGTCCTAATCACAAAGTCTGTTCTTTACGGGTGACTAAGCGCAGTTGATGTATTAGAGTACGATTTTGACAAACCCAGAAGTCTCAAAAACGATAACAAGTTTATGAGTATCTGAAATGTTATCTACCATACAACGTAAAACCCAGTATGGGAGCGCGTAGGGTGAAGTTATTATGCTTCAAAACATTCGATCAGACCAACAAAATTATTCAGTCAGACAGGGTATTTGTCTTGAAGGGCAATTTAATGAAGGCCTATAAATTGTAAGTGATAAGGGGGTTAAGTGATTACTCTGATGATCCAGAATATGGGTACTGTTACCTGATGTATACACTCAGTGTTTTCATTCATATCCACGACTTAAAAAGTCTTCATCACTGGATTGGCTGGGGTCGACAGTTAGACAATTCATATGCGTTACAAATTCGAATAACCTTTGAATGACTAACTGTTCTTGGCTCGACCATTTTTTTGAATCACTTCTGAAATATAAGAAGTGGTCTCTATTTGTAGATATCCAACCATGATACAAGCTTTGTGGCTTGAAAGAATTTAGCCACCGCGTAAATGACGTCTTTTGGGGTGATGTTTTCATTCCTTAGTGAATAAACAGGTAAACATGACTATTGTTGCTATCTTTCAGAAACCTCGAGTGAGGAAACAATGGCAACAGATTTTCTTCTGATTCAAGGTTCGGTAATTAGTTTTCTACGTTGTACATTGATTTGAAATAACTAAGCATCAGGATTTATCAAAGGCTGTTAGGATGTGTTTACTGTATAACGAAATCGCCACAACATCACTTGAATGTTTTCTTTGAGTTTTCATCAGCAACGTTTGTTACTCTAAGTTTATCTTTAAACAACAATACTGATATTAAAATTTACTACTCTCACAGCATTTAAGGATCAAATGATTGTGGGGACATCTGTCTTATTTTCTCAAGTCTCATGTTAGCAAGTTTTGATCGGGTAGTTTGCCAATAAAGCACGAATCTTTAAAAAAAGTTGTGAGTAAACATCAAAAGTGGGAAATTTCACTTGATGTTAATATCGCTCTTTGTTCTCACTTATTTTTAAAAAGGATTAATTGAAAGTAAAAGTGATTTTCCCAATAAAGCCTGGTTGTTTGCTACGAAACTTTATTATAGTGCGTTTTGTTAATAAAACAATACCATCATGTTCAACTACAATGTAGAAAGAACTTCCAGTTTTACGAACCATCAACTGGGCACGTCGAAACCGTGTGCTTTTAGTAGAATGATTAATAAACTTTTCTAGGTTTTCTGCTCTTGGTAATACTAGAAATGTTAGTAAGAACTTTAGTGATTGGTTTCTCTGGTTTGTATTCATTGTTGACGAAATTTTCGGGATTAAAATATTTCTTAACTGATACGGTCAGTGAAATGCTCAATAGACCATTTCTCTTTTCTAATAATAGATAAAAGAACAATGAGTAGAATTCTTGTATTAGAAAGATAACTAGAACCTTACAGTTAGCTGGCTACATGACATCCTGAAACCATATTATCAGTTGGGGAAATAATTGTTAACATATTAGTCTAGTGAGTATGGTTCCATTAGAAATACTGTTTATGTGCCTTTGGTGGTACGTGTGCGTTTATCCACTCCGTACTTTTTACGACTTATAAGGAAAGTCGGTGTATTGCCGGAATCGAATGCTTAGTGCATTTTCCGCATTTTTGATAGCTTTTCTGCCTTTCAATATTAACAAGTCTGTAACATATATGTCGAATACGTATCGTATCCGAATTTTATCTATGTTGTATCAATGTGATTTGCCGACGGAATATACACGAGGTGAGATATGGATTTCATTAGTGCAAAATGTAATCGATAAACTAACCACCAATGATAACATGGAACGCCTACCACCACATTAACTTTCTTCGACCTTGTATGACTATGCTTTGCTTACTCACCAATCATAATTTTATGTTTATCATGGGAGATATTAAGTTTGTTGACTCATTTTTCCTATTCTCTAGTTACTGTTCGGTAATTTTATTTATGTCACTTTTCCCTGTTTAACAGATATTAACACAATTGGATGCCGACTCAGTGGTCTAGAGGTTAAGCGATCGCGCACGAGACTGATAGGTCCTGAGTCCGAACATCATGGGGCGGGACCATGGGTGCGCACTGCTGAGGAGTCCCGCGATAGGACGAAACGGTCGTCCAGTGCTTCAAGGTTTTCCATAGTGGTCTAGCTTCAATCGACTCACCCATTGAAATGACTATACTAATTGCTTATTTTGTATACTAACAGTGTTAATCTACGTTTTAGAAACAGATACAGTTTATCAAACCAAATAGCATACTTGTTCTAACTTTGGCTAAGCTAAGACTTCGTGCTCGGCAGTCTAGAGAATAGTTTAGAATTACATCTGTAAAAAATTACTTCCTACAATCAACATCATTCTCGTTCTGTCGTACTGTAATCAGACTCGAGTTCAAAGAAGGAATTGCGAATATTAAGTTTATTTATTAACTGACTTCTAATATATAATATAGTTGCCCAGATTCTATGCTAATAATTCTAAAGGGGTATTTGGAAGCATCTAAATCCAATGTTGTTTAAGATAATTATATTAACGCTTTCCAGAACAAAGCTGTTCTATTTTTTAATGCGAATATTTGTGAGTGAAGATTCTTATTAATAGACTTTTTCAGAATCATTATTCATGTTTCTGTCTTCTTCGGTTAGGATGGACGATATATTTTATTTTAATATGGTTTTTATTACATATATTCATAGGTAAACTCACTGTCCCCTGTGCTTTTGTTTTCGTAGTTTTATTTCTCGATTTCTGGCCTCCAGAATCTTCTCACGATGGGTTTCCCTTTCAAACATGGCAGTGACTAATGACTTCTCGTTTTTAGGCTGATTCCAAAACCCTTCAGAGAGTTCTAGGATCGTGCATATTCCACCATGTGATCCTGTTGCAACAAATCGACCTTGTTCTTGGACTTTGAGACAATGGAGCGGTTCTTCACATATCTACTATTTAGAAGCAAAATATATTAAAGCATTTTAGTTGGCTTTTTCTACAATGAACATGTTGCAATCAATTTTTAAGTTAAAACACTGATCTCTATTTAGGAAGTTCATATTCTAGTTGATGTTTTTATTATTCAACGAGCTACAAAGGTTGTTTCACAAAATCATTTATTAAACGCTGGGTTTGTTTTGGGAGCATGTTTGGAAATAATTCGTTTCATCAGTAGTGCAAAAGCAATCCCTGATTTTAATTAATTGTGCGACAATCGTGCCTTCCAATTAACTACTTTTTTACCCTTGCTCCTAATCAAAGTGGACAGCATTATTGTGTAAATGTTAATCTAATCTTTCGAGGTCTAAAGTGAAATCTGACTAACAAATGAAAACACAAAATCTAGTCAGATATAACGTTTGTAATGCGTAAGACAACTATTATTTTAAGAGTCTTCATGTCAATAATCTATTATACGGTACGTCTGGATCTTGCAGTTTCTTGTTTCTAAATTTGATTTTTCAAACGAGTATCATTTTTAGATGAACTTAATAAGAAAATTATTTCTGTGACTAATCAGACAACTGACTTCAGCTGTCATTCTATAAGTATTTGCATTAGAAGTTTCTTTGTAGTTACAGTTTTTTAAAACACAGAACTAAGAAGTCTTACGTTCACTTGTATTTAAAATAATAGAAATAAATGAATCAAAAGTGATGTAAGAAGCTCTAAATCCATGTTAGTCAAACAATGCAGCGATTTGGATTTCTGAGACTAATAGCTATGATACACTGGTTTTCGGATCCCTTGAAGAAAACCTCATCAACCATAATGTCGGTTTGTTCATTCCAAATATTAACATTATTATGAATAGATTAGAATAGTTCCATGATTCTTAACTACCGAGGGACCCAGAATATGCATTATTAGTCGTTAATAGTGTTGATTAAAAGTGATGAGAATTTCCATTAACTATCTATTTAATAGATATGAGAAAAAATACCAGTCAAGACATTTTTGCAACTAACCTTGGATATTTTATACTGAAATCCCCTAATACATAGATTATAAAGCCTCTTTATGTAGTAGATTACTAAACATTTAGTTATCGATACTTTCAGTTTGTGAAAAAAAGCCTGAATAGTTGTATTCACCCTCACTTCAGAAGCCAATTTAATGGTGATAGTGGTTTTCTAACTACTCACTGAATTTACTTTATCGGAATAGATATTAAGAACAGCTTTTGTAAGGTGTTGAGTGAAGAAAGTCGGGATAAATGTTTATAGATGAAAATTACTTACTGATTTGAAATTACGTTTATTCGATTTACAATACACTTACACTATCTGTCAAGATTTTTATCTATTCAAATACTGAATTTCATGGTGTTTTTTTTGGGCTAAGTATATTTTAAAAGTTGTACTGGCTTCATGGATAAACACAATACCTCAATAAGATTTGATTTAATTTTCTTAAAACTTCGTCTAAATTTAGAATTCATGGTGTATTTTTCGTTTGGTAGGCAAACAATAGAATAGGTTTCTGTTCTAAAATACACTTCAGCCATATTATGCGTGATAAAATATTACAATGTTGTGGTAAATTGAATTCGTATTCGGCTAAAGCCTTTATTAGGTTATAGGAATTTAGTTGTTTTCTCAACCGAGGTGTGTATACGAAAACAGTTTATAGTTTGGTTAAATCTACACTTACAATATTTCTCTCAGTTAAATATCAGGTGCGGTGTAAATGATGTATTTTCAAAACTACGGTTCTCCATGTTACCTTTTGTCTAGTTCGATCAAATCATTTTTAGACTTAAAGTGTGATCCATTGAAAAATTTCATTTTGCTACTATGTCGCGCAGTTCTGACTAGATCCTCGTAGCACTAAATAAATTTACCAGAGGAACCAACTAGTTTGTTGATCTCAAAGTAAGGAGACATACGTATGCCTAATATTATCTACTTGAAATCAAGTCATAAATATTTATTGTTGTAATACTTGGGATCTGAACACTACATTAATTTTAATAAGATACAATCAGTCAATTTTTCCCGAGTATAAAAGTGGGAGTGAGAAGGAAAATAGTCACACAATCGCTTGATACAGCCTCAAATATATGTCTTAAATAAACAGCGCTTTCTAAATTTTAGTTTTGCTGAACCCAGGTGACTAATTTTTGGGATCATATTCATAAGCTCACTTTTTTGGCTGTAATAACGAGGTAAATGAGTACTATGCATTGGTTCATTTTGCGTTATTTTTCACAGCACAAACTTCTACTAACATTAGTTAATGACGAACGAATAGTGAAAGTAAAATAATGGGATTCTGTACAATATCAACAGTTATCCACCAAATTAAAAAAGACTCATTTAGCATACCTGAATATTCAGTGCAGGTTCTTTCTGTTTGAATATAATATCCCATATACTAAGTGTTCCATCCAAACGTGTAGCAAAAAATACGGCCGGTCGGATAGGACTCCAGCAGCCATCCGACAAACCGTGGTTGTGGTTAGCTGTCCACATTATAGGAGATTCTCGAATATCTTCCGACCATATTCGGGCAGTCCAGTCCCCAATGCTAAGAAAGTTCTTGGGGAAAAATGGGTTCCTTTGTAATGCATAAATAGGTCCGATATGTCCAGGATAAACAGCAACGATTTTTTCCGCAGGTGTTTTACCTTTCCGATTGCAGGAGATAATCATTCCCTGAAAATTAAAGGGTCATTTCAAAGTGGACGTTCCTCATTCTTTCTGTCTTATTTAGTAACTTGTCATCGTAACACTGTTTAGTCGATATCAGCTACATGATTGACATATGTCATTTTTGTAAAATGTTAACATTAATGATAACAAGTTAATTCCCTTTTTGAGCCTGTTTCCAAATATAATGACTTTATTTCTAAGCAACCTATAAGTTATATAAGGAATGAATGATTATTAATCAACGTGCTCCAATGGTCTTCTCTAGACGACTGTTGCATGCATAATCAATCATGTTGTTTTGTCACAATCTATTAATTTAGGTCTCTCATCCAAAATCCATTATCACATAGAGGTACATGTAGTCTGGAAAACGCTTTAGCAATAAGTGAATTTTACTTATGTCACGCTTTGATTAATTTTTATGGGTTGAGATTGGCCATCTAGACGGAAAACCATGTTAATTTGTCGTAAATGTATTGATCTATCAAACTTGTATACTTTTATTGTCTAGTGAATACTAGGTTTAATGTGTAATATGAGAAATATCGTACCCTGCCTTACGTGCCTGAATCACGTTACAAATATTTACAGAAACACTGAAAACTTCATTCCATATTTCCTTCAAAATTTGTTGCGATGATCTGGGTTAAGTAGTAGAGCTTCAGTTATGTATTCACTTTGTAATGTTTTCCGTGTTTGGCCATAAATTCGGTAGAATTAGGTCGGAAAATTTCGTTTGTCACATGTTGCTAGTAGGCAAACATATCAAAGCACTGTATAAAAAATGGCTGTTTCAAGAGGTTTATTTAAGTTATCAAGCATCATTTTTATGAATAATGAATATGTTTAAATAAGCGGCGAACACATATGCATATAAAGCAACGTTTTGACAGTGTTCACAATTAAAAATGGAATAACATACCATGAGATTGAATAAGGTCATATAGTCAATTGATCAAATAAACATATCACATATTTAAAAGATATTTTGGGACATAAATCGTTATCCAATATAATAATATTGTGTATAGGGTTTTACTCCCCATTTATTTAGATAAATTCATATTAGTTTGGTATCAACTAATGATACATGTAAAAGTAATTAGATGATAAGAAGTGAAGTTTCATAAAACCGAGCATGCCACATTCGTTAAATACAGCGAGAAACGAACGATTTGTGATTATTAGTGGATGTAATAAAAATTGGGTTGTTAATAATCCATAACACTCCTCGATTATAGAGACAAAATCTTACTCAGTCCGTCAGGTAAAACATTGGACCAGGCTTATATTTGCGTCGGTCCAAGTTGCCAAAATTCATTAGCACAATCAGATGAACACCGGATTCATAGGAATAGTCACTTCAATGGTAGTAATGTAAAAAAAATTGTGTATAAAGATATAGTACAGTGAGAAAGAATTAGTTCACAGAAAGAAAGATGCAAGACGAATTTAACCCCACAATTGAGAAGAGGACCAAAAGTGTACACACCTACGCCATTGTGATCGATTCTCAGCCATGTCACCCAGTCTCCAATCATTGGTTACGACGGTCGCGCGGACCACAACCAAGTAGTCTCCATCTACCAGCATTGCCGGACCAGACATTAGTGACTTCAGGGACTAATGCCACGTTTTGATTTGGCCAAACTTAACTTTCTTCCATCCGTATCCAACACTAGTCAGCATTGCACACAGTGAAAGTTGGTGGTTGGGCATGCATAACACGTTGCCTTAACATCTCAGTCGATGAGGATTTACAATCACAACGACTGATTCACCATAATTCCCTAGTGCCCTGCGTCCAACCTCACTATTACTTATCTGACGATCACAAAAGATGCGGGCAATATTTCTGAGGCATCTGTGGTCAAATACTAGAAGCTTACGAGCATCTTCTACTATTAATGGCCACGTTTCGCAGCCGTAAAGTAGAACAGAACGAACTGTCGCGCAGTATACTAGTCCATTAATTGATAGACGGATATCTCGCCTTCACCATAGGTGACGTAGGTTGGCAAAAGCCAGACGAGCTTTTCGAATCTGTGCTGAGATTTCGCCAGACACCAACCCACTACGGCTGATCAGACTTCCAAGATAAGTGAAGTTGTTGACACCTCCGACTACTTCACCCTCTATCCTTAGTTCAGGTGTTGACGCAGGCAAGTTCTGAAGCAACAACGTGTATTTAGAGGGGGAGAAGCGCATCCCAAACATCCTGGCATTGTTGCTCGGTGCTACCAAAACACTCTGCATTTTATCAGCGTCTTCATCAAACAGGACTATGTCATCTGCATATTCTAAGTCGATAAGTGGACCTCCTGGAAGAAAACCAATTCCTGAAAATTCAGATGACGTGAACGTTATTCCCAGCGGTAGGCCTACGATGAAATTGAACAGGAATGGAGATAGTGAACAGCTTGCCAGACACCACTTGAAGTTGCAAAATCTCATGACAGTTCGTCATAAGCTCTGACTCAACTATTAGTGTTCGAGTAAAGAACTCTCACAAGGTTTATGCACTTCTGAAGTACACATTTCAAGGACAGACACTGCCACAGAACCTCTCGGTCTCCAGAATCAAATGCTGCTTTTAATTCATTGTCGAACGCCGATAAGCATGCTTGTATCCTAGAAACTGAAGAGTGTTGAATATGTGATCGACGCAGCCACGGCCAGATCTGAATTCAGCCTGATTTTCTCGTGTTTTCAGTTCACGAGTTTTAATTAGGCGTCCGATAATTATTGAGGCTAGTATTTTAGATGCTATATTAGTCGAACTAATCATTCTATGGTTGTCACAGGATGATTTTGATCCATTCTTATATATTGGGACAATTAGTGATTGTGACCAGTCAGGTGGGATGACGTTCAACTCTGGGTTATCCTCGATTTCAGAACTACCTAAGTGTGACTTTAGTCGTTCTTAGGATCTACTTTTGGTTTTTGCTTCACTTTATTCAATTCTTATACGTCTTCTTAGTGTGGCCTTTCTGCGCCCAGTGAGGTGCTAGCAGGTATTTCAGAACGAACGACAATCTTCTATCGACCCTTTCCAACTATAACTAATGGCAATATGGTATATTGGTGTCCATTGTTGGTTTGGTGCAGGGGGCCGTCATATTAGACGATGTATCTCCTTATGTTTGAAATAGTGCTCTCTCTGATGTCTCTGCTTAAATTAGTGCTCACTATAAATAAATGATTGTCTGAGCACAGTTGAGGAAGACGATCACCATTATCTGTTCGCTGAGCCGGAACACTAAAGTACCCATTTAAATAAGTTTCTGTTTCGTTTAAGCTACTTACTTGGGCATTAAATTCACCTACTACGAGTACTATGTCTGAGCGTTTAGCTTTATGAAGGAATTCATAAAGCTTCCTGTAAAAATCATCTTTCACTTCATCCGGGCTGCAATTAGTGGGTGCGTAGGCAGAAACTACGAAAAGACAACGACGTGTGTCCCTATCCTACCGAGTTCTTACGGAGCCTTTTAGCCGAATAGCACATAGACGACTGTTAACGGGGATTCACTCTAATAGTGCTTGTTCTGACCTCATACTTAGTGCTATGCCTACACCTGCCGATCCATGAGAACTAGCCATCGGGTCGCCAGATCAACTGAGGGTGTATCTCGTTGGCTCTACGTTTTGGAGAGGCGAGATCAAGTGAATGATCACATTAGGATCCTGTATGCGTGTTTCGAAGACAGCATACATCGATGGTACAAGATTCTAGGGTTTTAGCCAAGGAGGCATGCTGACCGATTTGACATTAGGGTGCGTACGTTGAAGACTCGAATGTGTAGTTTGGAGCGGGATTTCAGTAGACCTGAGACGGTATTTTGCGCACTAGAGCCGTTAACCATGGTTGCGCTATTTAAAAAGGACAGTGGTATTTTTCCTCGCTGAGTAAATTTCATTGTTTTGATCGTTTATTACGTATCAAGACTACTGTTTTTCACTTTAATTGAATTTATTTCAGTTAAAGTATTTGACTAAAGTATCGTTTTTACTGTTTTGTCGTTGGTACTCTTGAGTACCTCTTTTTCAACTGTATCTGTTAGTACTTTTGGTCCTAGCAATCTACAGCTCTTCACATTTTTGGTCATTGATTATTTTTTTGTTTCTGGGTATCATCGCATCTTGAAAAAACCCCTCCTAAATGACCGGACAGTGTAAAAAAAGCAGTTGCCAACGTCCGGGTTGTCGTTATCCTGTTGAAAGCGGCATGCAGTGCGACGAGTGCAAAGGCTGGTACCACGAAGTTTGCACGAACTTAACGCCTGCTGCTTTCAAACGGTTCAGTAAGAAGGGTTGTGTGTGGCTTTGTCAACAGTGCTGCTCGGATGCAAACAGCTTGTTAACCGAGGCCATCTCACTGGTTGATGCTGCAAAGAAGTGTTTCAACAAGCATAGTCGGAACGCGTCAAACAGCACTCGATCTGTTGACACGCAAATCAATGTGAAGGAAACTAAGGTGAGTCCGGTGATAGATGACTCACGCCCGTCAAAGAAGGAAAAGCAGTCTCCAAAGGGGCCTGCCTTAAACAAAAGCTCAAGAAAAGTAGGGTCTTCTGTTCCCCGTCTCCCAGATGGGATCCAACAGGAAACACCTAGAAGCCGCAATCGCAAGGCTCGATCGGTTTCAAGCGGTAAACATAACACGACCTCTCAGGTCGTCGACAACCCCCCAAAACCCAACACTAGGTTTGACGCAACTGCTATTGCTTCTACCAGCAGCGTTGACGAATGGGTAAAGGTTGTAAGGAAGAAAAGTGTTGATATAAAAGGGAAACCTGCCCCCGTAAAAGTGGTTGAAAAATCGAAAGCTGATCATAGCGACAGATCAGCTATTTTTCATAGAATTAAGGAGAGCGATAGCTCTGAACCTAAAGCTCGTTTTGAGCATGACATTGTACTGATTAGGCAGCTGCTTAATCAACTCATGCCTCAAAATATGACTGGGGTCACCTTGCTAAAGGTGTATAGACTAGGGAGTCTAACGGACTCGAAACCAAATCATTCCAGACTGCTTAAAGTAGTATTCGGCTCTTCAAACGAACGTGACCTAATTTTACAAAATGGACACAAATTAAAGGGTTCAGGAGTCTTTATCCGAAAGGACCTACCGTTGGCAGACCGTGTTAAAAGACGGGAAGCCGAGAAAGAACTACAACATAGGTTAGACGCTGGCGAAAAGGACCTGAAAATTGTAAATTTTCGGGTTGTAAGACTTCGACAGAGAATGATGCCGAAGCCACTCTGGGTGAAGCACGAAGGCACTTAAACAGGCTTCGGATCTGTTACACCAATGCACGAAGCTTACTTAATAAGCGATCGGAACTAGGTGTACAGATTGACTCTATAAAGCCAGATATAATCGCAGTAACAGAAACCTGGCTGACACAGGCTATAGATAGTATAGAACTTGATTTCGAGGGCTTTACGTTAGTAAGGGCCGACAGAACACAAAAGCGCAAAGGAGGGGGAGTAGCTCTATTCATTAGGAATGCTATCCCATTTACCATTATCGATAGTGTATCCCATGAGAGTGGGACGTGTGAATTAGTTAGTCTTCGCTTAAAATGCAAGGGACAAGAGCTGCTGATTGGTTTGGTCTATCGCAGTCCAAGCTGTGAGGCAAATGAGATCCTGTTAAGCAGTCTCAATACTTGGTCCCAAAGTGGTCGATGTCTAATCCTAGGGGACTTTAATGCACCTATGGTAGACTGGGAAAATCTGCGAACTGAATCGTCAGAAAATTCCTTCGAGCAGGAACTAGTTGATGCGGTTATCACATGTGCCCTAGTGCAACATGTGAAAGAAGCGACTAGGTACGACCCGGACACTGAATCATCCTTATTAGATCTTATACTGACTCACTATGAGGATGATGTTGCGAACCTCCACCATATGCCACCCTTAGGTAAAAGTGACCACGCAGTTTTAACTTTCGACTTCCATATAACTGCCAGTCATGAGGACGCGTCAGTCCAGTCCAGACCCAACGTCTGGAAAGCAAACATACCAGACATCATGCACTCAGCATCGTTAATAGATTGGACAATAGACCCAGAGTCCTCCATTGAAACGGCCTGGGACGCATTTCGAAAATCATACTTAAAAGTTACCACACCTCACATCCCTTGGACTATACCAAAGGGGCCGAAAAACTCACCACCATGGTTCAGTAGGGAGGTCCGTATCCTTCTCCGTAAGAAAAGGAAAACGTGGGATAGATTTAGGTTACTGGGGACTGATGAGTCAAAATCTCAGTATCGAAAGGCTCGGAACACTTGTGCCTCGACCCTCCGTAAGTCTAGAAAATTGTACGAAGAAAAACTTGTTAAGGAATCCATAGAATGTCCTAAACGCTTGTATTCCTATATAAACCAAAGGACAAGGAGAAAAGGAAATATTCCTGCTCTATGGGGAGACAGTACTGCTTCATCATTAGTGGAGGACGACTTTGGTAAGGCTCAAGCGTTCTCGAACTACTTTAGCAACGTGTATACCATAGAAGCACTCTTCTCGTCAGCGTATACAGATCTCCCCATACATACACTGGATAGCGTGACCATTAAAGAACTCGATGTCTTTGGTCTGCTAAATAAGCTTGACATAGGTAAATCCACGGGGCCCGATGAATTACATCCTAGGCTACTGAAGGAATTATCTAACTTCGTTGCAAGCCCTTTAAGTACATGCTTTAACCTATCCGTTACGCAGGGTCGCTTACCGAAAGATTGGAAAAACGCCATAGTAAGTCCTGTCTTCAAAACAGGCACGAAACACAAACCTGAGAACTACCGCCCCGTTAGCCTAACTAGTGTGGTTGTTAAAATATTAGAAAAGATTATTCGGAAGGAGCTGTTTAAGTATCTCGATAAAAACCGGATCCTCTCGGAGAAGCAGCATGGCTTCAGAATAGGTTATTCTTGTCTCACTAACTTATTAGTGGCTCGTGAAAGCTGGTGCGCTCTTAAGGACCAAAAGCTACCTGTAGACGTCGCCTTCATTGATTTCAGTAAAGCTTTTGATAAAGTTCCGCACAACCGGCTGTTATATAAGTTAAGACATATCGGGATTGGAGGCAATTTATTGATGTGGATAAAAGACTTCTTAGTTGGGCGTCAACAAAGAGTAAGGGTGAACTCAAAGTTATCTAGCTGGGAAACTGTGCTTAGCGGAGTGCCCCAGGGTACAGTTTTGGGGCCAGTGCTATTCCTCTTGTATGTAAATGACCTTCCTTGTCTCCTATCATCATCGGTCTTGCTATATGCTGACGATGTCAAGATATGGAGAACGATACGATGTAAGAGTGATAGCTTAGAACTTCAAAATGACCTGAAGAAGTTATCTGAATGGTCTCAAACATGGCAGTTGCCGATAAATACTTCCAAGTGTGTTGTGATGCATATCGGTCATCAAGGCACAGATACATACACGATGAATAACACTGAGCTACCTGTCGTCCAGACATATAATGACTTAGGAGTTATCGTTAGTCAAGACTTAAAGACTACTGCACACTGCCGTGCAATAGCCGCCAAAAGTTTTAGAACGTTATGGTCAATACGTAGGGCTTTTAGTCATGTCGACACTAAGACGTTTTTGACTTTGTATACAGTGTTCGTTCGTCCTAAACTTGAGTACTGCATACAGGCGGCTAGCCCCTGCTTAAAAAAGACAGTGAGCTTCTGGAAAAGGTTCAGAGAACGGCGACTAAGCTGGTTCCCGCAATAGCGAAGCTTCCGTATGAATCTCGACTGGCCAAGCTGAACCTTTTCCCGTTGTCATATCGCAGAACTAGAGGCGACTTGATTACAGTCTACAAATTGCTTAGTGATAAATTTGCACCTAACATGCCCTCATTTTTCTTGTCTTCCAAAACAGAGAATTTACGAGGACACTCCAAAAAAGTTCATAAGCCGAGAACAAATTACTTGTCAGCTGACTATCGACTTTCCCATCGAATCATCAACGAGTGGAATTCACTACCTCAGCACGTGGTTGAGGCTCCATCCGTCGACTCTTTCAAAAGAAAGTTGGATCAACTGAGAGACCACCATTGCCAGGACTAACATAGGCCATCGAGCTTCCTGTCCTTCCGAAACTGAAACTGAGGAGGAAGTTTAGGTTTGAACGTCGATGTAGTAGAGATGATAGGAATTGGAAGGGGAGGTTGATTATGAATACAGTGGTCTTGAGTGCTGTTAGAGGTATGAGAGTGGTTATCACTGCCCGGTTGCACACACCGTAGAAGGGTTCTTCCAGAGGTACCTGAAAAGGAAATTGGGCTAGAGTTGGTCTTAGTGATCTGAGAGCGTGACTGCGGTGCCGAAGGGACAACTGCTTGAGGTCGGCCACATACGACTTGTTTGTGGGTATTTCTGTGTTAGCTCCGTACTTGTTGAGACCTTACCGCCGGAGAATGAAATCCGTGGGATAAGATTAGTTGTGCATTTTTAGGGTCAACCATTCCTAACCTCACCCTTCTATTGTGGGAAGGCAGTATCATTGCTATGCTGGTTGTCTGAGAGAAACCCCTTACTGCTGTCACACTTTTTCACAGTTAGTAGTGCGACTTCACCCTCGGACCTTGGGTTTGCTGCTTTTAGTCGTACTGCTCTTCAACCAACCTGTCAGTCATTGTAGAACCTTGAGGAACGATTGTTCCAGCCAGTATAACTCGGTTGCTTCATCACGATGGGCAAGCCCGACCACCACGTCAAGGTAGCAACAACGGCCGGGCAAAAGTTTACCATGTGCTTAAGTCGGTACGATTCCGAATTCATCTTACCTAGCAACCAATAAGTTGGATTGTGAAGCAAGATCCTAAAGTTTCTGCACCAGAAATAGTTTCTGATAAGGATGTTACATTTTTATAAAAGATAGGGTTGGTCAACTTACCTGCTCGGTTCCAGCCATAAACTTCGTTGGCATTGTAGATTCGTACTCCAGTGCATACGCACCCTGAGCACAAGAAATGTCTTGTTTTTTGGTAGGGTCAAGGTAAAGAAATTCTGTAGGTTCAGACATCTTTCTAACATCCCACCAGAAAACTTGTCCATCGGTCCCAGTGGAGAAACACTCAGTACCCGTTTTCGATTGTATCCACAGCGTTTTCCAGACAGGATCTCTATGACTATGCTCAACTGGAGATAATTCAACTGGGAGTGAGCCCCTACGCCTGTCCCAGAAAGCTAAGTTTTGAGAATGTGACGAATTCAAATATTATTTACCCAACTGTCCATTGTAACATCCCCCAATTAACGTATGAGAGTCTTTAGGGTTGTATTCTATGCAAACAAGAGGAGAAGCTGGTTTAAGTATCAACTCTGGTCTATTGGGGTTGTTTAAGTCCCATATATATGAATCATTCGATAGGGACTGAGATTGAAACTCCGTGTTACAGTAAGCAACTGCTAATTTCGTTGGGCCATCTGTAAACCAGGATAGGTAGGCAACGCTGCGCTTATAATTGTTTATGTCTCTAAATCATCAAAATATAAAGATGAACTTGTTTCACTTTAGAACGTTTATAGACTTTGCAGATGGGGAATCTTCCGAAGCATTTAGATACACGTCATCGAAGTAGTTCTCGTAAATGTTTAGGGCATTATTTTGTTTAATACAATGTTCCATAATCTGTAATGATAATAATTATGAAAAGGAACATACGTTTCCTAGTTTATGAACTGTCGCAATATAGACGTCTTCTTTCTCAACTTTCTTTCGATATCTAATTACCTGATCAGGTTCCTGCGGATTGACATCTTTCGGCCAGCCACCCTCCGTGTGATTCATTCCGTGTGTTTCTGATCTGTACCTTTCGGTATTGGCTTCGTGTTCAGACATTTCTTGTGAGCACTGAACACCTTTATCTACAGGATTCATTTCGATAAACTTTTGAGACAACTCTGCATCCGGTAATATTTCTATCAGGACTTCAGCATTTTTGTCGCTTAAATTGCACTGCCTCCCGAATTCGGAGCGTTTTTTAGAGTAAACATAACTTGCTTCCATTTTTCAATTTGTGCGGTCGTTTGGTATCAGTGGTATCCAACCTTGTAAACACTAAAACAAACATAAAGTACTAAATAAAAAGTCTGCAGTTGTAAAAATAGTGGGTCTCTCGTTCTTTTAAATTTTTAGGTAATGTTCTCTAGATAAAGTTTAGATTACTACTGAAGACATTCACTTATACTGGTGTTACAACCTGTTCGAATCGAACATTCCATGTAATTCATCAAGGTACTGAAGTAAGAAGGTCTGAGCAAATATGGGAACCACAAAGGCATCAATTAACTATCAGCACCAGGAAGAGTCTCCAACAATGTTGCTCAACCAGATGAAAGACTCAGTTCTTTTCAGGAAGATTTGGGAGGAAAAATAAATGCCGAAAAACTGAAAAGAATGATATTTAATCAACTTGCGGGTGAAATTAGGAAACTAGAGAGACATCACACTACTCTCAGTACCAGGAAGGGATTTCAAAAGAGTGCTGCCCAACGAGATGAAAAATTCATTATACGCCCTTAAACAACCAATCTTTATTCCCTCCCACCCCGACCACAAATCACCAAGCGTGCTAGCAAGATATATTGCAGGTTGAAATGCTTTTTCTGTTTCGCTTCTTTGTACAAGCTCAAGGAAAATCAAAGAGGACGATGTTTCTCCCATGAAAAATATGCTGGTGAACGCCGTTGATTTAGACAACCTAAAACTGTCATTACACAATTTAGTTTAGTATAAAATAAGGGGCGTCACCACTAAGATGATGGGCCTCAGTTCAATAGCGAAAGAAATCTCAGATATTTCACAGCTATCATGATAGTATTAAGTTATTTTCAAACAAACATATTAGATGAGGCATGCCAGTTTAGAGGCAAGGTCAAATTGTTACAAGTGCTACAGGATTTACTGTTATAATTCACTCATTTAGGTTGATATTGTCATAAGGGAGACTGGTTATAAAAACAGGAGGATAAATTTTCTCATACAAGAATATGAATGTTAGTAGACTTGAATATTCGCTATATGGATTGGCGCGCTTTATTGAGATAGCGTTGCGACAAACGACGTGTGGTCGAGTATGAATGCAAGTAAAGTTCACTCGTTGAACGACAGTACTGATCACTTACTGTTTGTCGTATGTCCTAGTACTTTAATTCTAGGTGCGAAGTGGGGGAAGTCTAAATGAAGTGAAGCTTTCATGACCGTCTAACATGTTAACGTTCAAAATCTATGTCCATTAATGTTTAAGCCATGAATAGCCGACATCTTTGTTCGGTAGCCAATAATCGATTTCATCCTTTCTCCTATGTAGGGATTGTATGCCAGATAGATCTAATGTGTTGGTCGTATTGTAGTCGTTACTCGTCAGTCTAAGAAGTGAAGAACAGGAAAACTTAACAGACCACTGTTGTTGCCACTCTATGTAGATCCAGTTCACCATTTGGGAGAAAATCATTGCTATTATCGCTGTTACCATGACCGATTTTTACACAGCAACCCTAGCCCTACAGAAGTCCAAGTCAAAGTTTTTTAATATGATGGTGGATTACACTATGTCGAGGTGAATCTTATTCATAAAGTCATAGGATTAATTTTTATTTAAAGAATATTTATGGTTTAGGAAATCTATGAGACCCATCAAAATACAAATCTCTTGTACTTCTATGAACAGAGGCCATCAGTTTATTAGTTTGCTCATCTTGTACAAAAAATAAAAAAGGAAACAAATTCTGTGCTTTCCTGGAAACTGCTGTGATAGCCAAGATTATACTGACTCGTCTCTGAGTAATGTTAGAAGTAAAGAGATGCGTTTTCATCTAAACGATTATAAAACAATAGCTTGATGGTGTTTGTGGTACTATTCAAGCACAACACATAGATATAAAATATATAACATACTTCAGTGGCCCCAGATTTACAATACACAAGCATGAGAGTTGAAAAAAAAACGTACACACGAACATCTACTATATATCGAGTAAGTTGAATAAGGACTCAATACTGGTTGTTTGTTGAAGAAAAGAACTGTTCTTTACCAACAAAGAATATTCTATTTACAAGCGACCGAACAAGTCAATCAGTTACAAGAATTCAATCAATAAAACACAGTTTTATGAACCCCAAGTCCTTGGGACCAAATGGTCTAAAAAATAAGGTATGGTTAAACACACACTAACAACAGTGCAATGAAAGCACAAACTATAGTCAGCTATAATCTGATGCGAACCAAGAATAAACTTTACAACAGTGAATGAAGAGGTTAAGGTGAGATTTATAAGCTGGTGTTTTTCAGGTAAACAATGTATGTATCAGAAGGGGTTTGTGGAGATTTTTAGAAATTTTCACAGATTGAAATCATGAGTCAGTTGAAGCTAGACCACCATTGAAAACCTGGAAGCACTGAACGGCCGTTTCGTCCTAGTATGGGACACATCAGCAGTGCGCATCCACGATCCCGCAACACGCGGGACTCGAACCCAGGACCTACTGGCTTCGCGCGCGAGCACTTAACCATTAGACCACTGAGCCGGCATCCAACGGCGTTAATGTCTAACTTCAACCAATCCACGAAGTTGCGCCACCATATACCATTGTCTTCAGTGAGCTGATATCTCACAACAGACCTGGTTGTACTCCACGCCCCGCGTGTTGCGTGATCGTGGATGCACACTGCTGATGTGTCCCATACTAGGACGAAACGGCCGTCCAGTGCTTCCAGGTTTTCAATGGTGGTCTAGCTTCAACTGACTCATGATTTCAATCTGTGAAAAAATGTATGTATTGTGAAAAGATTTTAGGGATTTAATGTCATTTGAATAGCATGATTGTATTTAAGCAACAAATCACGTGTCTAGCTGGTGGTATTTACGGCACTATTTGTCTAGAATCACTTAGGAAGATTCATCTGAACCAACGATATAGGTTTACGATTGATTGATCAATGGGTGAAGATTATTGCAATGTATGTCAGATTCTTCTTAGTGCGGATCGAATCCTTTCGACCAAATCGCGATGTGGCCACTAGTCTAGGTGACTCGACACTGCATGTACAGTGCTGAGATTTGATGGTGGTTGGAGGTAGTCAATAGGAAACCCTGGACACGAGTTTCGTGCTACTTAGCACTCGTCGGCAAAGCGTTCCCGTAGTCTTGGGCAAACCCTGTAGGCAACACATCGGATTTCAGGATATTCTATGTTAACCTCTCAATAGACCAACTAAATTTTCAAAGGTTTTCCCTTGTTTGGGAGTGCTAACACGATATTCATCATCGAGTTTCTTATGTTGTCTGTAGGAATATTTTTGTACTTTCGTTAATTTTATAATGCCTGAGTTTGATGTTGTGGTACTTATGTATGCTGAAAAACTAGCGTTATCAAGGGTTTTGTTATTGAGCCTCATGACTTAACAAGATCACACATCGTGTGTATTTCCGACAGCAAACCGTTGCACCATGCTAAATCAGGAAAATGTTTTCTCAATTGATTTTTTATGTCATTCTATAGTGATCTTAGATATTTTATTTCTTGGGCCATGCTCTATTTTGTTTACGGATTGAGCCTAAGCTCAGAAATTACTAGTCACTGTGTACGGATGTTTGTAATTATTAGCTCAGTTTGTCCTAAGCTTTTTGTTTTAGAGGCTTTCCCGTCCTGGGATATTACAGCTATGAAGACGGTCAATCCTAGAGCCCGACTTGAAAATTTTTTGGTCGAGATATCCTTGTACCCTTCCACACGTAGAAGATCATGCAAAAGTGAATCACTAAGTAGGAAGGAGCAGTGTTATAATGCAAGTATTGATGGCAGTGGATATACTCCACTTTCTAACAACACGATCTTTAAATCTGAATGCACACTAGCTTAGGAGACTTAGACTAAAGTTCAAATGATAGATGATAACTGATGAAAGTCGATAAGAGCCAGCACAATCATAACATTGAGGCTTCCTGGTTCGACGGTGAAGAAATGGTTGCCTTGTCTACTTCTTTCATATTTATATCTCATAAATTATTCCGTAATACCCTCGATTGCTTCGTACGGTGAGTCGGGAATAGGAGTGATGTGACTACATGGAAGCATCGTGTAGACTGCACAGTTATGCTGCAGCCAGCCAACTAAAGTATAATGAATCCATCAGTCTACCAGCATAAATATGTTTATTACAAAATCTAATGGTTTTACAAAATTAATCAAGAAGACCAGGGGTTAATTTTGATGGCAATTAATATTCTTTACCAACGTTATAATTTAGAGGTTTTTTTCGGATTTGTCTAGGCAATGATAGTTGTGCAGTCTTAGGCCAGCCACAGATCCTAGTTTGTGTGACGTTAAGTGACTAAATATAAGCTTCAAGTCTTTAATACTTATCTGTGTTTCTCAGTGATAAGTTGCAGGCTTTGTTATCGACATTGTTTGTTCAGTCCATTCTGCATTATTAGGAAAATCATTACCAAGCTACTTCTAGTCATCAACGCACAAGCATGGCTTACCTCCGAGGAACATCCTGCATAAAATGTCAATGTATATCATGGAAAGCGGTGGACTCGATAAACCCCACTGCGTAACATAACTGATCATTATGCAAGATAAAAACGTCACAGCATTTATTTAAGCTATACCAAGTCTCTTTTTCGAAAAAAATTTTGATCGACCTAGAATGGGTTACTAACTCTGTAGGTAACAATTTATCGATTAATAGATTGTGTGGCAATTTGCCAAAGTATAGAACAACAGTTAACTTGCCTTTGTTTTTAATGATCTAGTTGGAGAAATTCATGTAGTATTTGGTTAAACACCTTGTTTTGAGTGGGTCATATTCTGAATTACTGAGCAAGGTTCTACTAAACAGGTGGTCGGGTAACTAATAATTTATGAAGTTGCTGACCAATTACGCGAAAACAGTGAGGGTGATTCCGATTCCTCTATAGTTCTGAATAAGGCTTTTGGGTTCAGCTTTGTGTTTAGAAGCTATAAAGTGAGGAACCACTGCAGTTCCCATGACGCGAATTAAGAACATAAATGACTGATACAAGAGGGGGTTTGTACACTC